TGATTGATTATCATTCATGATTGGCGTTTCCGGGCGCGTCAACTGCTAAGGCCATTCGTCTCGTAAGTTCGTTTTTATCGCACGCAGTGGCGGTGATCTTCCTCCGGAGGATGGCGAGATCCGGCGCCGACCTTGCGGGATTTTCCCCAACCGGGCACTTCCCACCAGGGGCGTACCGTTCCAGCCATGACAAGCTCTATGCTGCCTACTGATCTCCAACATGCGTTGTGGTGTGTGCGTAAGCATGCATGTAAGTGTGTGCGTATATAAAGGGTAAAGTTAGGACAAGGAATGGGATGGAAAGATTACGCGCGGTCCGTGGCCCTTTTGTTAGAGTACTGCTCCGGCATTCGCATGGTTCTACCAATCACTGCCGGCTGTTAAAATTCACCTCCAGACAGCGGTAAAATTCAACCTTGCTAATTAGTAAGGTTCTAAATCCCTACCACCGTCGCGACTCGAACCCTAGAACATCCCGATCATAGGCATTGCAGTGACATCATTGATGCCCTGAACCACCCAAGTCGGAATACTTCAAGGTATTTTCTGTGAGATAGTGGCATTGCGTGTAAAAATATCTGTATAATATTTATTAATTTTATATTTTCTAAAAATATAAAATACAATAGTTCTTTTGACACACCTATGAGAATTTCAGTCTTCAAGTTAATTCACGTAATCGAATGAAAGGAAACATCCTTGTCCATAACGTTCAACGCTGCTCTTATAAGCAAAACAGCTGGAGTACATTGACGGGAGAGGTAATTCATTTGCTTGCCTCCCCCCAGAAGTCATTGTCACAAATTCACCATCACAGTTTTTATTAATTAAACAAACAAAACACTTTTTTCATTTTTTCATATTTTCTTTCATTAGAAAGTTCAAAAATAATTTTCACATATTATAAATAAACAATAATATTTGTATTTTATATGAATCTACATTCATCGGTGTTGAATTGTCTGCGTAATTTGTCAACGAATTAACATAAATGTAAATAACTTTGATTTATGATTTTGTTCCTTTATCTTGGTAGAATTAAATGTTTTGTAGGACACAATATACTTTCAATAGTAAAAAACATCATTCAAGTTCTCTCTTTCATGCACTGTAAATATAACAAACAAAAATTACTTTTAGGTTTGGTTTAAATGCAAAATTATTTACAATAATCAAGACACCTAGACACCACATACATTCTCCCTAAGAAAACCTATGGTTGTACTTCCTTCTGTATTGAATATGCAGTTAAGAGTGCAATCATTTTTGTGTACTTGTAAGTAAATAAAGTACTTAATTCCATGGATCATATCCTTCAGAATTCTTTGAATACATCTCGGGGGAAAGTCTGATCTAAAGATGAAGGGCCCTGTTGTTTTTCAGGGAAACAAATAACCCGAGAAAAAGTGCGCGACCGGTTTTCAATGTTGTCTTCAGTATACAAATGAGGGAAATCATGAAAACGTCTTTTAGAACAGCTATCTAGATTTCACTTTACCTGATATATTTTACCAATTAAATGTCAAATTCCAACTCTCCTTTAGTACCATAAAATATAAAACCAGTGGTTACCTCTGGTGCAATCTCACGTAAAAGAAATCATGCCGATGTGTTTAACAAATTTCATTATCCTTATTGTAAGATTAATACAATTGTATGATTTAAAGAGTAATAAATTCAAGATCGTTTTGCATTAAAAAAAACATCTGCATTTACTGCTCGTTTGCGAGGTTCTCATGGTAAAAAAATTCAATGACAATACAGAATAACATTAATACCATATATTAGGGCCATATAACTCAGTATAACATCTCAGTATATAATCTACTCAGTATAACATACTCAGTCCTATTAATGTTCGGCCCTAAGCTGCCATCGCTGATTACGGTTTTTTGGGTTTACTCAACCGCTTAAGGCGTATGCCGGGATGGTCCTAGATTTGTTCTCCCAACGGTAAATGTAACAGCTTGTCCTCTCCTCTTAAAATGTTACTATTCTAAATGTATGTAAATTCAGTGGTTAGGCGGAAGAGCAGGCCCTATTGCCTGAGCCTCGCCATTAATAAAGACATAAATAATAATAATAATAATAAATAATAAATAAATAATAATAATAAATAATAATAATAATTATATTATTATTATTATTATTATTATTATTATTATTATTATTATTATTATTATTATTATTATATTATTTTATAACAATACTACCACGCGAAAAATAGTGTTTAAGTGATGCAAACACATTATTTGTCCTTGTCACTTTTGAGTAATTAAGGATATATCAGCGAACCTTATTACCATGAATTCTTAGGATTTGGCATCTCATCGCTCTTCCGCTGGTACTTCAGAACATTTTTGGAACGGAATCCTCCCACTTCAGGTTCGAAGGTGATTCACAGATTTTTTGTAACACTCTTACTTGTATAGATGACGGGGTATCCTGCAGGTCCATTAGGCTAGGTTAGGGAGAGTATCCACTAAAGGCACGGAAGAAAGAAGATCGCGAATCTCCCACCTACCTGGTAGTTGGGAGACTCTCATCGGCACTGGATCTCGCCAAGCAGTAGAGGAAGAACACCGCCACCTCCCGTGACAAAGACGTGCAATACTAACGGTGGTAAAGACTAAAAACCCGAAATCGTTCGTCATTTAATCGGAAACACGAAATAATCCATCAATAACATTTTATCCCAGAGCGTCAGATCTTGACCCTGCGTTCATGACATTGCGTGATCACCGCCTCGCGGTCGTTGAGCTCTCTCAGTCCGTTATCACTCACGCACGATCTTTTGGTTACATTCCCATCCACGTAGTATCACTTTCTGTCTCTCTCTGTCGCACATATACGTCAGACTAAATCATTCAGAGTTTTTTGTGCCCCAACAAATTTCACTTGGCATCAATTCGAGTTACTTTCCCTACCGCGCATTGAAGTTTCCGGTTATGGCTGCTACGTAGTATGGATAGTAGGCTTGCATCATTTTTATTCTAGTCTAATCTCTTCCCTTATCTAACATTCATGAAATTTCTTGCATATAGTTCAAGTTTGAGTTCTCATTTCATACTTTTCTTTACTCGACCACACAAAGCAAAACCATTTCAAATATCTACATCATTCTAAACTTATTTTTTTAAATTGTATAGTCTCATCACATCCTTCCAAATTTTCCGTTTTGGCTGAAAGTCATCTGTCTTAGAGCCTCATTAGGCATTAGTGCCTTTAGCCATTTCAAAAATTGAAAACTCATTCTTTTCAATTTTCATTCATTATAATATTGTACCAAATATTTTATACACAATATCCTCACAGATATCCTTTGTAATGATAAATCCAATTCTTAATGCCAATCATACACATGACATATTTAATATTTTTTCCTTTTGATCATTTATCATTGTCAATTTTGAAAATAATATCCACTTAACACAGCCCTCCATCGGGAGGGCTAGAGATTTCACTGTCTGGTACAAAATACCCATTTGGAAATAAATAATAGCTACATAAAAACTTTCCCTCTCTCATCCCTGAATTAAGGCACTCTAACACTAGAAATTTCCATTTCGAAGAACTCGCTCTACCTGGTTATCGAAAGTTCTAAATCCCTTCTCAGTGAAAAAGCATCGTAAATATATAGCGTGCGCTGCGAGGATTCCCCTCAACAGTAGTTTTCACTTTGTTAGCCGTCTTCGAAGAGCAATATTATACAGATCATATACATATTGTTTTATGTTTGTTCATCCATTACTTTTGTAGCTCGATTTAAATATTTTTATCCTTTGCCGTATAATTTCCTATGAAGCTACGGTAATTTAATGATATTCTAATAAGATCCAAAGGTATTCTTGTAAAAAGCGAAATACAATACTAACCGTGCAAATAGCACTAGCCCTCAAACTTCATGTATCTAAAATTCATATTTTACAAGTCATCAGACCTAACTTCAGTCTTAATGAATTTGAAATGTAGCGTTATTTTTGAGAGTACTTTATTTTGCATGGACAGTTACATATCCGCATTATCGGCCTAGGCTACCTCTAAAGCATACCCCCAGCGCATTATCAATATTTTGTTTGTGTCCACATTTTTTCTTTAAACTTTTTGCATATATTGTGAATACTGTATTTCTTCAAGCAAAGGTGCTATCTTCACCTAAACCGTACAGTCAGAAAAAAATGTATCATAGTATATTTGACTTATCTTTTTATGATATAGAGATATGTTGCAAGGATAGAACAACTTTTTTCAGAAAGAACATGGAATTTTTTTAAACTTTAAATTTAAACAAAACTTATTACAAAAACGCTCTCAAAAGAAATTAATTATTTTGATCAAGCAGTGAAATATTACTATTCTCAAAAGAAATTAATTATTTTGATCATGCAGTGAAATATTACTATTCGGCAATAACATTACAAAGCACACTTTTTGCTGAATAATGTCTTTGGAGAATCAAAAGAAAAAGGTGTGTTCAAAATTATTTGTTACTCCTGAGTGCGATTTGTATTTTGAAGTCAATTTACGTCGTGAAATTGAATATTTATCTAAGCTCCGGCGTGTGTCACGCTTCGCGAAACCCTGAGCGGAACGGCCACCTCTGCCGTCAGCCGGCAAGGCCCCGCGAAAGCCGTGACGCGTAAATCCCATCGAAGAGGGAGAGACTTCGCGAGTGGCGGGCAAAAGTGTGGTGGGGTTTCGGCGGAGAAATGAGGGGAGTGAGGAGATTGCACAGTTTGCAGCGAGGAAGTGGCGTTCGAGTGGGAGCACCGTAGGGGGAGCACCTGTGAGCAGGCGAGATTCACATGAAGGAAAGGCGGGGTGGCGGTTCAGTGGTATTGGAGGAGCCGTGGGACAGCTGGCGCGGAGGGAGCGGCGGTAGGGACGGGGAGGCTGCGGTGGGAGAGCAGCAGTGACAGGTGATGGCGGTGGCGGTGACGACAACGACGACGACGAGAGGTGGCAGTGGGCTATTATAATAGTAGGTGTTTGCGGCGTAGGCCGCGATATGGGAGGGGCAGCGGCGGGCGAGCTGGATAAGGCAGAGGGCAAGGGGGAAGCGAAGGGGCAGGATAGCCAGAGGGGACGGGGTATGTGATGGGGCTGGGAAGGTGAAGAAGGGTATACGAGGAGCTATGATTACGAGGGGCTGGGATTACGAGGGGGCGGGGAATACAAGAGGGCGGGGAATACAAGAGGTCGGGGAATACAAGAGGTCGGGGAATACAAGAGGTCGGGGAATACAAGAGGGCGGGGAATACAAGAGGGCGGGGAATAGGAGAAGGAAGGGAATGAGGGCGGAGAATCTGACGGAGAGAGCAGGCGATGGATGCGTGAGACGGGGGTGGCACGCAAGGGTGGTGGCGGCGGGAGAGAGAGGGGAGGTAGACGATAGCAACGGTAGGCGTTGGAAGGATCGAAAGGAGCAATGGCGAGCAAGGGCGGTTATGTGCCAACGGGAGCCGGCAAGGACGATGGAGGGGGAGGGGCGAGCGTTGGTGATAGATGGATGGACGGCCAAAGGCAGGGGAAAGATGAGACTGGTGATGGAGGGGCCAGCGGAATTGGTCGGCGGCAATAGTCTCGAGGGAGGGCCAAAGCCGCACGGCTTATCTAGATCGGCGGCCGTCACGTCCCAGGGTTTAATTGCGGTCCGAAAGGCCGCCGCGACAGCCTCCGCGCCCGCGCAGCTTGCCAAACGCGCCGCCCGCGCGCCGCAAAGGTCGCGGAAGGACCTCCGATCTCTAGCGGTTCCCGCGGATTCCAGCGCGTCCCCGCTGCACACGGAGATCGCGTCGCACACTGTTCACGCTGACGACCATTAGGCGAAAAAGCAAACCCGACCAAAAAAAGGAATAAAATAGTACCTGAAAATACTTTTCGCCAGATGAAATGACAATGGCGTTTCCCAATTGATAATTTTAACTGTTGAAATAGTTAAAATTTCTATTGAATTTCTTGCCTTCATAGTTTTGAAAGGATGTAAAGATAAAGGAAAATAAAACCCTTAATGAAACTTCACAAAAGTGGGTACTGCAAGAAATGGGTGGAGCGTTTGAAATATTAAACTTCAAACCGAAAGTAAATCGCTAATACTACTGCAATGCACATTAGGACATTTGTGAATTCAGGGTGCGTAAAAATTAATAGAAATATAAAATCAGGTAAATGAAAATATGACAATGATTTTCAGTGGTATAGGTTTTTTTTATGTAGCTACACTTGTAAATATTTTTTCGACCAACATTTGTGCCAACATTTGTTGGTGTTTCGCTCACTGTGCGACACCACGTTGCACCTCCTTGCAGTGGAGAACAGTTTGCAGCAACTGAGAACGCTCCGCTGTAAGCAATTCCATTGCGATGCAAATGGGAGTGTCTCTGGCCGTGAGTTTCACCTGCTTATTTTCTTTTGGTTCGTGATTCTTCAGAAACGACTCATTTTGGATAGATTCTCCGAGCACGGAGATATCGTGGTAACTGTACAAAAGAATTGCTAATAATAATATACCACAAAGGTTACACGTGACACCACAAGCACGTTTAGAGTTAAAGGGTATCGTTCAGGGACATGAAACATAGCGGTATGCGGCAGGGGTGTACGTAAGTTCAATCAAGGTTTACGATCTAGTTAGACGGTACACCCAGTGTCGTTTTATAAGTGACGCTTCAATCGAGGACACGGTTTCCGCCAGTAACCAGATTTCACAGTGCATTTAGGAAGACGTCTTATATCAAGTAAACTGTGCAACCGATCTATTCGCATGCTAATTAGCGAATTGTGGGACGCAGATCCGGTCTCGCTAGAAACGCCGAACCTAAGCTAAAACTTCCAGTTCCTCTACCGCTGCAAACCGGCGGACTACGTAACTCTCAGCTGGAAGATTCCCAAAGAGTCGCCCATCGGGAAAGTGCCCAGGTGAAGACCAACGCGCTGAACAAGCACTCGACCGGCGGCTGGCGGCGGCGTCCTAGCCTTCCCGGAAGCCAGGAACGGCCAGGCGGGCCTGGGCGCGGCCCGACACCGGAAGGAAACTAAGGAGAAGAGTGGTGAAGGCGACCTCAAAATATGCTGCAGCTCAAACCTTCAACCGCATCAGCATCCACTTTTTCTTTTGCCTAATCCGGTCGCGTATGTGTGTACCTAGTCATGTAATATTTATTTATGCTTATTTACTATAGTGTTTGGTGCATATTGCTTCTTCCCTTAAAATGTGTTTATAATATTATAAGTCATTCTGCTCAATAACCCAATTCTGGTAATCAACGTCCAATCCAAACTCGCATTGAACCAAATGGAATGTCTTGAATCATTGATGCTTATTCAAAAATGCATTTTACTTGCCGGGTTACATGTTTTCACTTAAGTAAATATAATTTTGCTTCTTTAATTTTTAAAAAAAAGTTAAGAAATATGATACCTTTTGTCCCAACTCTACAGACGCTGAGTTTACGTAATCTTTCATTCTGTGTGTTTAAATCTATTTTTTAAATTTCCGGTTTGGTATTTCATATTGTTGGCCTTCGTAGTAACCTCGACAAACAAGTGAATCGTGTCCTTCCTTTTCTCGATCCTATCACGTTCTTTCGAAACAATGAACGACCTGTTCTGAAACTATTGTCGATGAAACAAGGAAGTGATAATATATTTGTGCAGTGTTCTTTACTGAAAATGTTTAAGACTTACAACTAACCAAGTAATTTATCTTCGTTCAAATATTATAATTAAACACGATTTTTCAGTGATTTTTCTGCACAGAAATTTCATGTGGAATAATTAACATTAAAATATCATCTACCCTTACAGGTATTACGGTTACAATTAGAAACATGTTTGTCAGTACCACATGAAGGCAACTATTCAGAACCATTAGTTTCATTGAGTTTTTATTTTAATTTACTTTGCAATAGTCGAAATTACTATAGTTTTGTGTATTAATTATTCTTACTGTCACATAATCGACTATGAAAAAGTTACTTTTACTTTTTATGCTATATCACATGTACTTATAATCGTTAACTCGTACTACCGCCGTCAGCATTAGCACTATGACCCTCCGATCGTCATCTTCAATTTCTCCATGGTGTTTCATAATCATCATTATGTTATCACCATTATTATGTTCCCGTTATTGTCACAGTCACCCCCTTACCCTCAGGTCAAATTCGCTCATTAAATCTCATTGAATCCATCAGTCTTAATTTACCTGTTGTAATGGAGTATTCGCCTTGAAAGAATCACTAAGTAAAAAACATAAGTTTGGCGTGGGTCACGGCGTGGATTAGTTCAGTTCGTGCCCTAAAGAAGGCCGACCGAAACGTTTTTACCTGACTCATGACGCATTGTCCCCCGAACATCCGAGAGCAATCACAAAGCATCACTGGAGCTGTCATGGCGAGCCCTTTTAGCAGGCCGCCGCCGCCGCCGCCGCCGGGCGGGTCCTCTGTCGCGACAGGCAGAGGCCGGGAGGAGGCCTTGAGCGGAGCCGCGCCGTCATTCCGCGGGAATGCAGAATAAACAGGCGCCGCATTCCTCGCGAGATCGGCGCTATCTCGCGTGCTCGCGGCCTCAGCTTGCCCC